CTCACCTGGAAAGCTGAGAAAAATCACAATAATATGCACTCCACAGAGGACTGCTATGAAGATCAACTGAGAATTATGTGAAAAACAGTTAACCCAGTTCTGACTCAACAGTAAACCGACAATAAATGTTGGCTATTGTTACCTCTCCACCACCGTCAGCAATGAAATACCCAGATTTTTTTTTTTTTTTTTTTGTCTCAGACTAAGTATCTAAAACAGCAAATGGTGCAAGTATTAAATTGTGAAATGTGAGATCTGTGGCTCAAGAAGAAAAAAAAAAACTAGCTGGCAAAAATTTCTGGATTTTCCAATGGGGGATGGTTGCTCTATTATAAAAAGTATTAATAACAACCACTTAGATACCAAATCCTGTGCCAAGTACTTTATATGCATTCTCTCATGAAGTAACTAGTTTTGCAAACCCGATGAAGTAACCTGAATGAAGTAAGTGAATGATTAATCACATTTTGCAGAGGGAAATTCTGAGGCATAGAGAGTTTTACTCCCTGCATCAGGGTCACCAAATAAATGAGAAAATGAAGCCTAAAGCCCATGTTGGTTTGTGACAGAATCTCTGAGCAATTCAAGTGATATTTATGAATTTATAAAAGACAGGCAATAATGTCCCACAGAATTACAACATTTATAATAAGAGAATAATATATGTATATATAATTCTCATAAACAGTGATATTATATATCATTTTATGTATATATAGATTATATATACATAGATATGTATATATGTATATTTTATATGTATATATACACATATTTATATATAGATTATATATACATAGATATGTATATATATGTATATTTTATATGTATATATATACATATATACATATCTATATAATCTATATATACATAAAATGATATATACATATATATTCATAAAATTTATATATATAAATTTATATATATAAATTTTATGTATATATAGATTATATATACATAAAATGATTGTCATTTTATGACAATCATTTTGTCAATATAAAATATTGACAATCTCCAGAACTGGAAATTTTAAGAAACTCATGTAATTAACTAAGATAATGGCTCTAAGCAGGGAATGTTGTTAAATAGTTGAAAGAAAATGACCCAAAACGAATGTCAAAAATTGAGGGCTACTGAAAAAATAATTTCTACGGGGCAGGTGCCACCTTGAAAGAGGAATAAAAATGATATATTTAAAATTTATATTTTTAAAATTTATATTTTTAAAAGATTTTCTCAAGCTTTCTCTGGAACAAGAAAGGATATAAATAAATAAAATAAATAAAATGGCTCTGCCTTTTGTATTTACTCTAAGGCATTAAGTAGCTATTGATTTAGGAAGCCAAAACAGGAGCCACTTTATAATTGGACTTGAAAAATTTATGATCATTTGCCATATAACATCAACAAAATAAAAGAATGGTAGATAAACGGCTTTAATACCTTATTGTATCAAAGTGTCAAATTTATTAAATTTCTGTTTTGTGCTTGTATTTTTAACATCCCCATGCATAAATTCAAGTTCAAGTGGAACATCTACTGACAATTATTACATAATAATACTCAGGAAAATTTTAGATGTTTAACTCCTTAGTGTTTTTCTATAATCAGTACTAGGTGTGCAATTACTGCTTAAAATTGAAAGTTACATTAAAAAAAATAAATTAATCCCAAAGAGTTTTACATAAAGTAGGATTACTAAATACAAAGACAGTGTTATTTTTGCTTCTTTAGTGTTTTCATTAAACTCTTAAAAGAACTGTACATTTTAAAAAATGTATAGTTACATTTTTCCTAATAATTAAATAGCTTTAATAGGAAAATGTGTAAAGAAGACATTTAAAAATCAGCTATAAAAATCACAATTTATTCATAAGTATGGGCAAATGCATCTGTTTAATTTCATGAAGAAAAAGAAGTCCCAACTTACTCCAGGCTGTGAAATTTGAAACCTTATACAAGGTGGCCCCTTAGTGGTTAAAACAAGCATAGCAAGCTAAAATCAGTGCATACGTGATTATTGAATTCAATTTATTATTGAAACTAAATTGGAAAATAAAAACTTAGGTTCTTTAAATAAAAAGTTTAAAATTTTATTTCTATAATCAAAAGATTATACTAATACAAAAATGTATTAGTCAGAACTTCTTGTATTAATTTTTAGCAATGAAAATTGTTAAAATATGTTAATGGTATTAACTGTAATGGCTAACAAAAAACATATGAATCTTTAACTCTCGGTGTATCATTGATTTATTATGGGCTGGTATCTGTGTCTATTTCAGTGTTTTATTTACCTTAGTGCCTAAACCTGTGTCTAATTATGGCATGTGTTCAGTACATATTCTTAAATGAACAAATGCTATTCAATTGTTGAAATACTGCCATATATTGGTACCCCGTATATATATATATTATATATATATAATATAAAAAATATATTATCTATTATAAAATTATATTTTATATTATATATATTATTATATATTATATAATATTATATATTATATAAAATACATTTTATATATATATATATATATACACACACTGGTATAAAATATATTGGTATAAAATACCAAATATTATTTTTAAAACATATATATATAAATACGTATAAGAAACATATATATATATCTATACACATACAAGAAACATGTATGTTTATATATGTTTCTTGTGTTTATATATATATCACATATATATAAGAAATGTCAGTATATGTATATATACATATACTGAAATTTTTGCCTGCGTGGTTTTGAATAATAGACAAATGCAGGTTGGCCATGTTTCTTCCTTCACATTTGCTGTCCTCAATATCTGCTATTCCCATTAAAATTTCATTCATTAGGCTTTTGATAGGAGAAGCCACTTCTGAAAATGATCTAGTAACAAGCCTATAAGCAATTATTAGCCATTAAAACTTTCTTCCAAAAGGTGGATCAAATATTTATCCAAAGTGTTTTCACTTAAATTTTGCATGGCATATTGAGCAGTGAAGTCTAACTTTGTAGTTTGCCTTAAAAGAGAAGGAAGGTGCCAGGGAAAGCTACATTAGTCTTGTGTGGGTTTGAAAGACAGAATTCAGTTTAATCATTTATTTTTAAGTGACGATTCTTATCTGGGGTTTTAAAAAATCGAGATAACTGAATGCATCTGTCCATCTACAAAGTGCTAAAAATGTGCATTTGATATTCTTATTCAATTAAGATGCATATCTAGCTAGTTGAGTAGGTTTGCTGCCACTGTCAGATTATTATATGATGGAATGAACTGAAAACTGAGGTAGTGAGTCCTGAGACTGGGCCTGGGGTCAGGACTCTGCTCTGGACTAGCTGAGGGGCAACTATGTGAATCTCTGCTGCTATCATCTGAAAAGGGAACATGTGCACTATGTGGCTACAAGGTCTTTTACATTTTTATGGCCTAATTTATTATTTCCTAATTAGTATTCCAGTTATTTCATTGTTTTCTGTTTGTTGTTGTTGTTGTTTTAAGGGACTGGGCTCCATTTTTCTTTTTAATTTCCTTTATCTTCTTTTCTCTTTTGCAGTGGTTATTTACATCAACCAGCACAATGTAACTAGTGTTACAAAAAACAAATAAGCTCTAAATATGACATTTCTGTTCAGGGCAATTTTTGTCTGAAAATTTATTCACATAGACTTCACTGCAGCAATTAGTTACTACTTTATAAACTACGGTTCTGGGAATCCTAGACTATTTTTGAAATTATTCAATGTATAGCACCATAGATAGTCCTTTCAAATTAAGATCCTGTTCAGCTCACTTTTTTCCCTTAAAATGAATAAAACCCGAGTTGTATTTACTTTTCTTGTAAAATAAAATACAATTTAAAGAAAGTATTGGAGACTTTGGTGCCAATTTTACTAATTTTGGGCATGTGCAAAATAGTTTCAGATCAATATGGAAAATATAGATATATGGTAAGTCAAAATACAAAATGTATATTTCTCTGCGAATTCTCAATTGTTATTCCTTAAAGTATAATTTTGGTTCAGAAACTGAAAGAGTATTGGTGGGCTTACTATAGATGTACAGTTGTAGCCAGATCAGTTAAATTAAAACTCTTCTAAGGTTAAAAACATGGCTGGACAATATGAAAGCATAATATTATAATGTGTACATATCAATCTTCAGATTTTATGGGACTGAAACAATTTTAAATGTCCTAAGAAGTTTATACATGCTTCTTTTTCTATATTAATAACTGACTTCTAAAATACAAGTTTTCTTAATTAAGCCTATGTTCTAAATAGATTCTAGTCTTTCAAATAGTTGCCTTTCTAAAGAAGAGGACAGTAGGGCCAGTGATTAATTTACTTTTTAAATATACTATAACCTAGACAGTCTACCAAGACACTAACAATATTCCTATAGAAGTTGTTCTGCCTGTATTACTTCCCAATTTGTTTCCTATATTTTATTTCTTCCTACACCTTGACTCTCTATATCACTGTTTAACTGTAGTACTTACAGGATGTTAACACTTTTCAATTCTTAAAATAGAGCCATTTAACCCTCTTCAAATCACATAAACTAATTCTCCAAATTCTCCAACATATGTATTTTGTCTATTTCTTACCCTAAAACATAAATGCTTTAAAGTCATCATTACAACAAAGATTAAGTTCTATGCTTTTACTTCATTAAAAATAAAAAAGTAGGCACTAGAACGTAGGGCACATATATACTGACATGTAGTACACATCAGTGTAAAATTGTATTGAAATTAAAGGGGAGAGCACACCTAAAGCCCAATTAATATTAATTGATTAATATTTCTACAAAAATCCTCAGGGTTAGCCATCTGGGAATACAACAGTTAATGTAAGGAGAACTTCAGAAAGCTTTTTTGTCTTCTTTTTGGTCTCATGAAAAACGAAAATCATATAAAATATGATTATAATAACAGAACTTTCAATGCAGACACAAAGGAATCACTGGGGTGTTAATAAGATGAAACTTAAAACACATACCATAAAATTCCTCTGGTAATGAATATTCTCTTTGTTAAAATCGATCACATAGCCATTGAAGGACCAAACAAATGTGAGATCCAAGGTAGGATCAAAGGACGCAGCACACTGCATGGTGGCATTTTCTCCAACTGTGATGTCGGCATTAATTGGGGCCAATATAATTCGCGTGGGATCTATACATTTTTAAATAAAAAAGTAAAGCACAATTCGAGAAGATGTAAGACACCACATTATCTGGTATATTAAAAGAATAAAAACCTACATATATTTTTATTTCATAAAAACCTATATATATTTTTATTTCTTTGTGCCAAATAATAAGATGTTTTCACATCCAAATTCCAAGAACAATATCATCAAGCAAGAAAGTTGCCTGAAATACTTTTGAAACAGAAACTTACAAACACATTGACTGTTTAGATGCTTAATGCTGAATCACATGTTTTTTAATGCATTAGAAATTAAGCATCCTCAAACATTAACTTACCTGTGATAACAAGGGTTCCAGTGCTATTAGCTTTCCCTCTGTTATTTTCTGCAAAGCATGTGTAGATACCGCCATCATTCCTTGTAATGTTATTGATTTCTAAGCTACCATCTTCCCAAATGAGTATTCTAGTGAAATAAAAATTATATAATTCACAAATCTGATTTAGTAAAATATGTCTTAGTTTACAAACATTAATATTTTTCCATTGTTACATTTTATATAAATCATGTGACCACAGACATTTTTGTAAGTCGAAAAATTCTAGCCTTTAGTTATAATATATTTTCTCAGCTTTGACTATTTGTTTTAGAAATCCACTTTCTTCTTTTTTCTGAACTATTGCCATAGTCATCTAACAAAATGTCCACTATCGGACAAGCTGAAATCAGTCATAGGCCTAAAAGAAATGAGCCCAGGTCTCCCAGAAACATAACCTCAGGACCTCAATTCAGACTAGTAAGTGGGTACAAACTGCCATTTTCATGGCTACAGAGAAATATAAACATATTTTATTTTTAGAAACTAAAAAATATTTTAAAATATTCCTTGGTAACAACTTCTGGAACAAATTGGTATTTAGGAAATTCTTCTTTGAACAGAAACTAAATCTTTTATACAACACATATTTTTTCTGCCTGTCAGCCTCTTCCCCGGGAGATGGAGACTAAAAATTCACTGAGTTTTATTGTACAGAAACTCACACTTAAATACTGAATTGCCTGTCACTGGATGTTTACTTTCTTTAAATAGATCATTTTCAAAACTAAAGTATCTTTGAAAGTTTGCAGAAAGCATGCAAACATATATCCATTTTAAGGGCAAAGTCTGATAAAAGAAAAAAAAAGAACTATTTAACTTACTAATAAAAATCTTCATATAAGAAAATATCAAAATTTTTCACTAATATTATAGTCCAGGATTTCCTTTCCTTCCTTGAACAATCCAGTCCCAACTGGAAGCTCATTTGAGAATACTTTTTGTTGTTGAAGGAGAAATGCAGTATCAAAATAATATAACAATAAAAGTAACTATTTAAGATCATGGAGGCTCTGAGAATATGCCTTCTTCTCCAACTCTGAGGAGTATCATTGATTCTCTGTCCTAGACGTTGTACTCAGAAATCCATCCCTGTATTTATTCAGAGCCACACATTCCACAGGCTGTTCTCAGTCAATGACTGAGCATGGGACTAGTTCTAAACCATGCCTGCTCCTGGAAAACAGTAAACTCCTCTGATATGCATTTTTGACTGGAGGACTATTTAGTGGCATTACCATAGTTTCTTAGAATTGCAGTGCATTCCAAGTCATTTTAACCCAATCATTTTACCTTCCTTCCCTCTGTCCTTCATCTGGGATCAGACCTGTATCTCAGTAAAATACCTCCCTGAGCCTCCACCAATTTCCTACTTTCCCTCCCATGCATTGCCATTAATTAATTTCTTACATAGCTAATCTTCCTGGCATCAGAAACTTGGAGGACACATATTACTACAGTACCAATATTAATGTGCCACACTTTTTCTCACTAAGCTCTAGTATAAGTCCTTAGCCAAATACTCACATCCATCCTATTTAACTATTTTTCAAGAGACATGAAAAAATTATAATCAAGTGGCAGTGAAAAAAACAATGATAATTCTTTCTTAAATCCACACTAGTATTTTGAGCTTACTTATGTTAGTTTTCAATTGATCTTTACCACCTTTAAAGCGTATACGTAATTCCATGTGTCATTCATACCATTTATACTTTTAGGTGTTCGCCCTTGAGATTAAATTTACTTTTTAATAAAAATATTTAGAAAACCTAAGTTTTTACATAATTCTCCTTATTCTTAAAGCAATATAGATTAAACCCTCATGATCTCATCCTTATTTCCAGATACTATGATATAGATCAGCTGTCAAACAAACTAGGAACCATCTGGTCTTTAACCAGTTGGTCACTATTGTTGCCAGAATTACTCCAGAATAGCATCTGGAGTAGAAAAAAATAATGAAGATCCCCTTATAAGTGGTTTAAATAAAAATGACTTTAGAACTAATAGCAGTTCATTGAATATCAATTAGCAACTATCTTAATTCTGCTAATTAAAAAGAAATTCTGCTGCAGGAAAGTATATCATTTGAATCCAAAATAAAATCGTAAAATGAGAACCTAATTACCGTTTGTAGAGATGCATAGCTTCTCCAAAATATCACATAAACCACTCTATAGGACACTAACCAGATACAAAAATAACTTTGTTATATGGAAATTGTTTTTATAATTATTTTCAGAAGAATAAGACTATATTTATGCTTTAAGACCAATATTAAGTTAGTCCTTGGATATTCTTTTTCAAAATAAACACCAAAGTTTTTATATTTAGCTTTTTATACGTACTATTTTATAATTCAAATATATTTGCATATGAATACTATACCTACTATAAAATGGTACTTACATTGAGGTATTAATGAGTTAAAGTACTAAGTAAAAATTTGATTTACAGACTCTTTCATCAAGGAAATAATACAATTTGATTTCAAAGGCTTTAAGAATATTATAAAAAATCAAAATTGTAAAATTTCAGGAGCTAAATCTTTCTCTTCTTTTTTTTTTGAACACATACTGATATTTAGAAAAAACAAGTCCATGAAACATTGTTCTGGGAAATCCGTGGTTGAAGAGGTCCATGACATGGGTCTTCATCAGAATCAGAACAAGATTTTGTTATTGAGGAGGGAGAACTAATGGAAAATGCCATGCTATAGGTTGTGGAAGGAGTAGGCACCTACACATGGGGCTGCCCTTTCATCGTGGTTTCTGCATTGCTCATTTTCTGAACATCCATGTTTCAGTGGCAAATAGAACAAATGGACTTTTCCTTTAACACTTCTTGTAATATCATTTTGTTAAAATCTTAACTCTTAGGTCAGACATATAAACTTTAATAGTTAATGTGTTCAGGGAAGCCCCTGCTGTCCCTTCCCTCTTCCCCCATTCCATAAACAGCCATGCCTGTGCTCATCCTAATAAGAGGGCTGTGTTGGCATACTCTCAATTCATATCAATGTCTTACAACTTCAAGTTCTGGTTTGGATATCATCAATATATTTTTTCAGAAGGTCACTTTAACTTTACCAAGCTTTAGAGACTCCAAAATATGGATGAGAACTCCAATGTTATTTATTGGGTTACTGTGAAGAAAATAATATGTTTTCTACACTTGAGTAAGAATAGTCTTTCAAATGACAAAAGTGATCTTTGTCCTTTTTCTTGTTTAAGACTTTTAAACAGATTTCCATTACTCTTAGGTGAAGCCCAAGCCCCTTAGCCTAGAAAACTTTGTCATTTATAATCTGGCTTACTATGTCTCATCCCTTAAAAGTCTCCTCCAATTTCCTCTACAAACAAATCATACTGATTTTAGTTTCTCCAATTTCCTACACATTCTAAACTCCTCACCATAGGGCCTTTGTGATGCTGCCCTCACATCCTGGAATACACCCCCAAGCCAACCCCCACATCCCATCCCTCTCACTTCCAATCCTGGCTGTCTCCTCCTCATAATTTTTGCACTCAATACTACTTCTTCTAGGAAACATACAAACTATTCAGTGTGGCTTTTATACAAATAATCTATGTAAGTCATACTCTGCTTTTCCATTTTGTCCCAAACCACCGAAACATTGGTAGATGGTCCACTTATAAGAAAGATAACATGTTGTTCCTTTCAAGACGAGAAGAGATTATTTATACTTTGAAATCACCTTTTTATTTTTCTACAAAATATTTAATAGGCTAATTGCATAAAATTCAGTTGAATATGAATGGATATAGATGTCTATGTTAGGGGGAAAATATATTAGAGAGATCCTATTTTACTTCCCATTGTTTATTAGCTGAGGGTCACTGGGCAATTTCTAACAACAAGAACTACAAAAAACACCTTTGAGCCTCAATTTTCTAAATTCCCTATACATTATAGAGTACTGTTAATTGAACCTTCATTATAATACATACTGACAGGGATAGGTATTTCTGTTCATCTTAGAACTACAGGATCTTCTGTGGAAAAAAAAATAATTTGGAACAAACAACATTTTCATTATTAACATATAAATATGTCTTCTATAAAATAAACTTTTTCAAACAGTTTATTGCAATTGGATGTCTAGTTTCGGCACTGACCTGCTGCTATTGACAAGCCACTCTGTCCCTTTACTCCATGAAAACTTTGGTTTCGGTGCTGCTTTAGGTTTGCATTCAATTATCACCCTTCCACCTTTAGCAGCCAGGATCTTTTTCTTCATAGGATTCATTTCAAAAGTTGGAGCCAACGCTAAAAAGAAAACAAATTGTTATTTTTCTCTTTTTGCTTGTAAAGCCTAAACATTGCTTCTGTGTTATAGAATCTTTTATTCTTTTTCATATTTATTGGAAAGGATTAATTTCAGTAAATATGATCAATTGTTACCAATAGACATTCTATACCTACTGCTTTGTAACTTTAATAACTTTTACTTATCATAAAATTCACCCATTTCAAATGTACAGTTCTTGATGATAACTAAATTGATTATTAGAAACTTTATTAACAGAGTTCAAGCATAGTGGCTCACACCTATTATCCCAGCAGTTTGGGAGGCTGAGGTGGGCAGAAGGCTTAGCCCAAGAGTTTGAGAGCAGACTGGGTAACATGGTGAAACTCCATCTCTACCTAAAATACAAAAAATTAGCTGGGCGTGTTTGCCTACCTGTAGTCCCAGCTATCCAGGAGACTGAAGTGGCAGATCACCTGAATCTAGAAGGTCAAGTCTGCAGTGAGCCGAGATTGCACCACTGCACTCCAGCCTCGGTGACACAGTGAGGCTGTGTCTCAATCAATCAATCACTTTAATTTCAATCAAATGTTTTATACACATTTACCTTAAAATTAACAGTAAATTCAGTTGTTTTGACTCAATCCCACAAGGAAAGTAAAATGAAAGTCTGGAGAAAATTGACCAGCATTATACACACTGACATATGATCCTAGTCAATCCTCTAAACCACATGTTGAATTAACTATCCCCAGTTAATAAATGAGAAAATTGAAATCTATTAGGATTATCTAATTTGGCAAAGGTGCCACAGGTAGTAATCACCAGGAGTCACATTTGAATCTAGGTCCTTCTGTTTCCAAAGCATGTGCTTTTCATTAAACAATGCAATCTCTCCTTTATACATTTACTGAGCATCAACTGTATGCAGACACTCTGGAAAATGCCAAAATAATTGAAGCCCTGCTTTCAGCACCTATCCATAAACAGCTATGGGAATAATGGATCTAATCAACGAATTAAGGAGTACATGATCATTTGTAGTTCATCCTTACATCCAAGTAAAGAACAATACTTATCAGAACAGCATACTCCTTTGCCGGTGTGCTCTGACTTTCCTCAGGTTTCCCACATTCAATCTACCACTCACTCTCCTTTTCTCTTGGCAAACTCCAAGCAGATTTCATCCATGTATTTCAACACATGACAATCATCTGTAACTGCGTACTTTCTGGAGGCTTTTCTAGGCCTAAGCATATTTTTATCTGAGTTTTGACTCTTCATCATCTAGTCTGCTCATTCTCAAATTTATCTGTATATTGAAATCATCTGGAGATGTTTTTAAAGTGTCCATTCAGTAGGTCTGGGGTGAGTGTGGGATTCTGCACTTCTAATATGCTCCTTGGTATGGCTGCTGCTGCTGATGCTCTGGGGAAGACACCTTTTGTGACAAAGATTCATTCTATTCCATTGTTTTGTTAGTATGAATTTTGATAACTGGCAATAAAGTAGTAAGCAACAACCTATGCTGTACGCCTAACACAGTTCTGGGTGTTTTGTGTAGTCTCAATAAACATTTTATGTGACATGACATATTGCTTTGAAAACATGAAAGAAAATTTAATAGGTTTATATTTTAAAAACCAAAATTCAGATAGAAAATAAGGATTTTCCTTGAATCAGTTTAGGTTTTAATGAAATAGTTGATTTGGTGTGGTCCTTTAAATGACTTCAGATTTATCTAATATTTGCATTTCTAACAGCAGGATCTAGACTATGTTCCTGTATATGTTTTGGAAGTGGCAAAAAATAAGGGGATATCCTTCCTCTCAATTAAGATGAAGGCATGATGCATTACGTGTGTCTTTGGTTCTTTATTGTAATATATGAACCTATTAAAAGAATAGCATCTGGTGTAGAATAAGTGCTCAATAAATATTTGCTGGACGAACACATGAATTAACTAAATAACCCAGGAAAAGAGAGGAAGAGATAAGCACTGTGCATAAGAGTATAATAAACGAGCATGGATTGAGACAGATTTAAACATGGAGCTACTGATCTGGGGAGGATCAAATTGTTCAGTTTGCTAGTTACTACATTAATAGTCATTAAAAGATTTGAAAATTCTAAGCTGAATATATAGAAATCTTTCAGTCTGAGCTGAGGAATTTTTTATACTTTTTTTGGTAATATATGAAGATATGAACTTTAACAGAAAATAAAATTTACATTTGGGAAAGAATTCAAACTGACTTCTCTAAGAGTCAAAATGATTTTATATTTTTTACCAAAGATACCTGAGCTTGCGATGCTTTCTTGATACCCAAGAAAGTAGAGTAAATATATTACCAGGAAATTTAGGCTTTAGGGAGGAAGAAATAGGGTATGATCTTCAGCATTATAATAAGTGGATTGGAATGTTAAAATTAAGATGGCCTGCCTGGGTGCAGTGGCTCATGCCTGTAATCCCAGCACTTTGGGAGGCCGAGGCAGGTAGATCATGAGGTCAAGAGATCGAGACCATCCTGTCCAACGTGGTGAAACCCTGTCTCTACTAAAAATACCAAAAAATTAGCCAGATGTGGTGGCACATGCCTGTAATCCCAGCTACTTGGGAGGCTGAGGCAGGAGAATCGCTTGAGCCCAGGAGGTGGAGGTTGCGGTGAGCCAAAAAATGCGCCATTGCACTCCAGCCTGGGCAACAAGAGTGAAACTCCGTCTCAAAAACAAAAAAAATTAAGATGGCCTTAACTTATTGAGATTAGTTTTATTTACTTCTTTATAATTCTCTCATTTCCTACCATTTTCTTTTAGTGTCAGTCAATCTGTAGGGTTACCAGTGTTTTGAAGAGTTTTCTTTGGGTGCAGCAAGAATAAAAGTGGCCGCATTGAGTCATTGCTTTATCTTTCAGTAACTAATGCTAAAAGAAAAAGCCTGACTTCCTGAATTCACTACTTAGAATATGACTTGACCTAGCGACAACTCTTTCAAATAACATGAAAAGGACATAATACAGTAAGACTTTTGGGCTGGGCACAGTGCCTCATGCCTGCATTGCCAACATTTTGGGAGGCCAAAATGGGTAGACCACTTAACTCAGGAGTTCTAGACCAGCCTGAGCAACATGGAGAAACTCCATCTCAACAAAAAGTAAAACGTTTATCTGAGTGTGGTGAAGTGCGCCTGTTGTCTCAGCTACTTGGAAGGCTGAGGTGGGAGGATGGCTTGAGCACAGGAGGTGGAAATTGCAGTGAACTGAGATCATACCATTTCACTTTAGCTTGGTAAAGGGATAACTGGCAATACATAAATTAGTAAACAACCAACCAATGTTGTACACCTAACACAGTACTGGGTGTTTTGTGTAGGCTCAATAAACATTTTGTGTGACATGACATATTGCTTCAAAAACATTTTAAAAAATTAATAGGATATTTTAATAGGATTATAATAATTTATATACAATCCTATAAATTATAAATCATAATTTATTATATTATAAATTATAAATCATATTAAATTCAATTTTATTAAATATATATATTAAAATTATAAATTATAATAGGATTATATTTCTTCAAAACATTGGTATCCCTACAAATTGACACTAAAACCCTTGATAGAGAGAGGCTGTCTCAAAAAAAAATAGACTTTTGTAAAGTAGTTGTAGTGAATATACATAAGGTAGTCACAATAAAACACCTGGGAGATATTTCTGGTGTGAATTGCAGAAGATTAGTGGATATACTGGATGGGGAAGGGACGTGATGAACTCTGTCATTCTTCAGAACAAAGAATCTTTGAGGAGAAGATGTGAGTGTGGGTGGGAGATATTAAAAAAGAATTCAGCTGCAGACATGCTAAGTTTGGATTATCTGTGGGACTATCCAAATGAATACTGCTACTAGGAAGTATTTATATCCTGAGCTTGAAGCTAAGGATAATTATCTGGGCCAGAAATATAAATTATGGGATCACTAGTAAGTAATAGGAGATGCAGAAAAAATTAACTAGAAATTTTAAAAATAAAAATAAAAACCAGGCATAATAATGTAGGATACATAAAGCGAAATGGAAAAGGAAATGAAATGGATCAGAGAAATGGAATGCTGGGATAGAGCAGGATTTCTAGCCAGGCAGAGGACAGGGTGAAAGAGGTGACAATGAAGGAGCTAGAGAAGAAATGGTCTGTGAGGTCTTACAGCTCAGAATCACCAAAGAAAGAGATAGAAAAGCTTGAGAATAATACAGGACCAGAAAGAGAGGCAACTGGTAGATATATTTTCAGACGCACACACACACACAGCACATAACACATACACACACAGGAGAATGAACAGCTGTTGATATCAAGTATCAGGAAAAATGAAAAGGAATGAATATAGTGCTGACAGGTAAAATAATTGATGTTTGCTCAGGAGAGATTCTTTCTTCTCTAGATAAAGAGTATTGAAAAGACAAATATAGTAAAGAGATAGCTTTGAGTGGATAGGAGGTTGAAATACTTTATGCCAAACGATTTCAATTTTCATAGAGCACAAGAATACAATGTAAAAGCCAGAGTCAGGGTGCAGTAAGGGACTTGTAGAATGTCCTAAAAGTTCTGAATAGCAACTATAGGGTATGAGACCTAGGGACTGAGAATGTCCCAAAAATGGCTAAATACTCATCTGAGGCTGGATCACATGCAGTGTTTTAGCATCAGTCTTCAATGTTATGTGATTCTGCAGGCAGTGTTCAGCTGTCCAGGCATATGAGAGGATAAGACTTGTTGACAAAATTGGCATGTGTAAATTGTGCTTTATCATTTAAAAAAATGCCAAAAACAATTATATCCATGTTCCTTCAAATTTATTATAGACTTCAGCTTCTTAGCTAAAAATAAAATGATGCAATTTCATGCAATAGGAATTTGTATGTAGTCGGAATTTTCAACTAGCAAAGAAAAGTTTAAAGCGTTACTTCCTCCCTGCTTAAATGTTTTTCAATGAAAGGAAAAACCGTATCATTTCATTCCCCACTTCATTTTAAAAGTTTTTAACATTGGACATTAAAGAACATAATGTCAAATCAAATGTGATCCATGGATACTCCATTATCTTTTTTAATATGTCACCTTCTTGATGAATGTTTAACAGAAATTAGAAATGATACTGACCCAAGATCTTCAACTCAGCATTTGCGTAAATGGCTCCATGTGTGTTTTCAGCTATGCACTGATACATTCCAGCATTTTCAAAAGTCACGTCATACAGTCTCAATTCCCCTTTATGATACTGAAAAGAATAAAAGTTAAACATATTCTCAATAAACTGTAATAGTAATACTTTCACTTAGGTTTGGGCTTGGTTGTCTTTTAATTTAGATACGTTATGTTCATCTGCCCCCACTGTTACCTAAGATGAACTGAGTGGGATTTTCATGGCATGGGAAAGGAAACCCACTTACCATGCCCAAAGGCTCTTGTTCTATTCATCCTACAGAGCTGAGAGTCCACCTTTTCCCCTCTTGGACCAGCTGGGAGATTACAGTGGGAAGGTAGAGAAGAATCCCACTGCTGCTACTTGTCCCCAGGGCCAAAGGTAGGACTTAGAGCTTCACTCTTACCTCTGTCTCTGTGGGGTACAGGAAAATAGTGGCAAGAAAAAGAGGACAATATCAGGTATTGGAGATGGATGAGTAGGAAGAGGGTGGAAAAGTGGAACAAAGGAAAAAAATAAGGAGAGAGAGAAAGAAGGTAGAGTAAGATTACAGAAAGTTGTTTAAACTGAAAGAAGATACTTTATGTTCAGTTTTTGTTTTTTTTAGGAAGCTTTTATATTTCAGGGCCCAAGTACTCTTTCTCTATTGATTCTCCTGCTAAATTTATCCCAGGACCACCCTGAAACATTGCTTGAACAGGGACTCAGGAACAGCAAAGTACATGAACATACATACCGCATATCCATTTTTCAACCATCGGATGGTAGGGATAGGCTTCCCTGTGGCTACACAAGGCCAGTAGAGATCACTGCCTATGTCCACCTCTGTGTCATTGATATGTTCTACCCACTCAGGGAATGCTAAAAAGTAAGAAACATTGTACATTTTAAATGCAAGTCTCAAGATCCATCATAATATCCAGAATATAAATATTACATTTAGTAAACCTTATTCTGCAGAATACATCAGATATTGTAGGCATCCCAAATTCAATATTTGAGCCATCAAAATTATATTTGCATAGGCCTGTTCTTTGTATAGGTTTAACCTATGCAAATCCTATATCACTCTAAAAGGAGGTAACTATAGCTCAGTCGTTATTTTTCCATTTGTAAATCATGTTTTGTTGAAAAGCTGAGCTACAATTAGAACTAAAATAATTGATTTTTTTCTGCTCATAACATAAATCTTTCAAGCCTGTCAAAATGACAATTGAGGTTTTAAAGAATTATGTCTCAATTCAATATGACACCATCTCTTAACCTTTTGGATAAAGATTCAGATTTTTTCCCACTCCTTTAAGTATATATTATCTTCATTTTGATGTAACTCAGCTAGTGGCCACCGTAACATCTTACTGTGGTGCTAGAAAAATTACTTGGACACTTAAATATACACTTTTCATATTAGAAACTACATATAGTAGCCATGATTGGTGAAATCCATGCATGAGTAAAATTGATCTCAGTCTCATTTTTAATCTGATCTACTTGATATCTAAAGAAACACCCATGAAAATGAGAAAACGCTAAAAATGTTCCTAAGGAAAAAATATTTCTAGAGAACAAGCAAATGAACAGTTTGATGGTCTTTTTTATCATTTCAGTTATCTAGTCCAAATAGATGCAGATAAATAAATTAATATAAAATAAAATGGAAGTAGGAAGAAAGAATTCTGAGTGGAAAATAATTTTCTTTGAAAATGGGGACTTGTATTAAGTTTATGGCAAAAGCAATATACATCTTATATAAAGCATTTAACAAGTAATAAAATGCCTGAAATTTTAAAACTAGAAAACATTTTTATAATCTCACCAAATACCATCAATATTACACATTATAATGTATATATTATATGTAGACATATGTACACCTATATACATATTTTATAGCATATATAATCTTATTTAGTACAATTTCACTCATCATTATATCTGTCCATAATATAAAGAGATATTTTTTTAAATATTGGTGGATACGTTCATGTTAATTGAGAGAGGTTTTACTTTGTATACAATCTTAGCAATACATAATACAGGAATATCAGCACCTTTCCTGTCTTGGTCTCACATAGGTAACACAGACATTTGCTATTACATTATATACTGAATAATTGAATTGGCTTGATACATTCTATATATGTCTTAATTATGTAACTTCCGAGTGATTTGATCAGACCTAAAGATAATACTGAGTATGCTGCATTAGTAAAGAAGTAATATTTCTCTTAAATTACCTGCTATAAATAACTGCTCTGGCACCTTGGTTCTTCTAAGGCTTTAGATATTAAACAGTTCAAAATTCTACTCTGCTAAGAACCTGGAGTGTAGTTTTCTTAATATGTTGAATAAAAACATGTCTATAAACTTTAGAAACCTGGTAGAAAGTGATGGATTTATTTCAAAAGTTTAAAAGTTCTTAACTAGACTTTTCTTCCTTTCAGGAGGCCATTTCATGCATACTTGATATGTATCACGTTAACATTACGGTGGCACTGGATATACAAGTCTGAGGTTTAGGGTAAATGTCTGGGTTAGAGCGTTGAGGGTATAGAGTGTGTCTAAAGCCATGATCATGAATGAGATCCTAAAGGGAGTGACTGAAATGGAGATGAGGTTCACAGATGGAACCCTGATAACACCAATGTTAGAAAGGTATGGAGCAGGGGGGAAACATCAATGGAGAATGAAAGATTATACAAGGAAATTCAAAACAAAGTGGGTCCCAGTCATGAAGCAGAAAAAGGGAATAAAGAAGAAGGGAGGGACCAACTGTGGCAACCACTTCTGTTAGATTAAACAAAGTACAACTGAGAATTGAACATGGGCTTCAGCAATATGGAAGTTGGTGGTCATGGAAAGAAAGGTTTCTTGGAGAGGTAGAGATGCAAATCAAATTGGAGTGCATTTAAGAGAGAAGAAAAACCGGAGATGGTGACAACACTTTTAGAGATTATGGGTATATCTGTCAAAATTTTAATTCCTTTTTGGGAGAGACAGGAGGCAGTGAAATGGGACAGTAGCCAGAATTAAAAATGAATAATCTTGTGTAAGCCCTCAAAGTTTATTCTATGTGACTTGCAGGTTCATGTTGTGGAACACTATAGAGATTATTTCAGTCTGGAATGTTTCCAATGTGGCCTGAAAAAAAATCTGTCTTCCCAAATGTAAGTTTATTTTGATGTGTGAAAATCAAAGGCTTGTGCCAAGATAATTTTCTCAAAGAAAAACGATTCCTTAGACCAGTGGTTCTCAAAGTGCGACTCCAGGATCAATAGTATTGGTATATCTTGGGAATTTGTTAAAAATACAAATTCATGACCCTCAACAGACCTCTGAATAAAAAATTCTTAGAGTGGGGGCAAGCTATCTGTGTTTTAACAAGCCTTCCATATGATTTTGATGCATGCTTAAGTTTGCAAACTACTGACTTAAACTAAATCATAACACACAAGTTCTGTAAATAAAAAGATACTGAAAAAGACAGTGATAAAACAAGTAAGCAACTACATTAATTGTATATTCTGAAAATCACCAATAATACTTCTGTCAATCCGTTGCTATTATCTATGGTTCAATTGGTAATAAGTTTTTAACTTCTATAACTCATAGTTGTGACTGCATTAGACATATGAGAAATATTTTATCTTTCCCCATCATGGTAACATACATCACTGTTTTTTAAAATATTAATCATTATATAGTAGTTTTTCAAGTTTGGAAATGGCTCTAAATAAGATACTGATGAAATTTATACAAAATTAATATATCTACCTTGAACATAAATTCTTGCTTGATGTTTATCCTTTCCTCTAATGTTCTCAGCCTCACATTCATAGATGCCTTCATCTTCTAGCTGAATATTGAAGATCTTAAGAACAGCCCCAGAGGTACTGATCTCAGCAGTGCTTGGCATTGGTTCTAGAACCTTCCGCCATCGGATATCTGGAACAGGACTTTAAATAGAAGATACAAGTGCTAAAGTGTTACACACTTAAAAGACAATTAGTTTATGTTTATGGCTTAACAGTTATTTATTTTCTAAAATTGTACCATTTCTATATATGTTAATAAAAGTGTCAGTATACTTACTTTCCAAGTGCAAAGCATTCTAAGGTCACATTTTGGCCCATCAATGCATATATATCCTTGAACTGAACTACGATATCAGCAGGATATGGTTTTGTTGTTCCTAATATTAAGAGAAATACAAATATCCACTAATTATTAAGCACAACAGTAGTTTTCCTAAACATGGTAATCCTATAGGATTAGAACTGCTTCAATACGGAAGCTTTTCTCTGTACAGGTACTGCTCATATCATAATGGATAGACTTCTTTGTTTATGCACAGTATGAATGTAATATAACTGCCCAGCATTCTCAATAATATTAGCTCATTCTGACAGTTGCATAACCAATGTGACTCAATTTACTAAAAAATTCAAGTCTTTAGAGAGCATCACATATGTGTCAAACATTGTGATAAGTGCTGCATGGAACTCAGGAAGGTGGAGAAAGAAAATGAGGAAGAAGGAGAAGAGAGTAGAAAAGAAAAAGGCAAGGCAAGAAACCAAGGGGAAAAGAAGAAATGACCACAGAGATAATGGGAATGGGAAACAAATGGAAAAATGGGAAGGAGAGAGGTAAAGAAGGAAAACATTTACTCAGACAACATGGTACTCTTCAAAATAGACACTTTATTTCATTTATTTAGCATATCAGTCCTGAAAGGTGTATTAATCCTTCAGGCTTACAGAGAAAAAAACAGGCTCAGAAATGTGAAAAGCATTGTTTAGGATCACAAATTTGAGTGTGTACCTTACATTGTAAAATGCTAAAGAGTCAAATAAATAAATAATGATCTGATATATAAGCCAAACCAAAATGGGTTCTCTGAAAGAGTGACTGATGAGGAGGGTAGATAGAAGTAGGTAAGGGCTATAGGACTCTGCAGCAAATATGGCATTTAAATTGGACCAGTTCAGGTTGAGGAAATAGCATATTATTACAAAGCTCCAGGAGTACGCAAGGAATTTTAAAAGGTCTAGGAACTCAAATGATGCTGAAGTATATGAGCTTGAACCCACAATCTAGAAGGGCTGAAAAACGATATTAAAGAATTTGAGATGAATTTTCTCAATGGGTAATGTATTAGTCTGTTCTCATGATGCTAATGAAGACATACCTGAGACTAGGTAATTTATAAAGGAATAAGGTTTAATGGACTCACAGTTCTGCATAAGTGGGGAGGCCTCACAATCATGGTAGAAGATTAAGGAAGAGCAAAGGGACATCTTACGTGGCAGTGGTCAAGAGACAGCATGTGCAGGGGAACTCCTATTTTAAAACCATCAGATCTCATGAGACTTATTCAGTACCACAAGAACAGTATGAGAGAAAGCATCCCCCATGATTCAGTGATCACCACCTGGCCCCACCCTGGACTAGTAAAAATTATTACAATTTGAGGTGAGATTTGGGTGATGGCACAGCCAAACCGTATCAGGTAACTGCCACTGGGACTTGGTAAGAGAAGTAATATGGATCTTATCTTTGGTTTAAGTAGAAGAGCTTGCTGCCATTTTTAAAGTATGGAGCATGGAGAGGAGAAATATAGAAGTCAGTCTCAGTGGTCCAAAAAGGCTGTTTCAATAATTCAGGCAAAACAGGTGAGGGCCATCACTAGGGCATAGTTACGGTGGAAACAATAAATTGTATTTCAGAGGCAGAAACAACAGGATGACTCCTTGGATCAATGTTTCTCAATGTGTAGATTAAAGGCCCAATTCATCCGAATCACCTGGGATACTGCTTCAACTTGTGGATTCCTGGGTCACGTTCCAGGCCTGCTGATCAGTATCTCTGGGTCCCACATTTTCCCCAAAGCTCCCCAGGTGCTTACATACTAATTAAGAACCACTCATCCTAAAGAGCAGTGGAAGTCAGGATTTGATAACAAATAATCCTACCTTGAGTTAGAAATAAAATTGTATTGCTAAATAAGCTAAAGAAGAAGAGGATTTAGGGAGAAAAAAACACATGTATTTATGACACATTGAGTTTAACATCTTTGAGAGCTTTTTTAGGAACAAGTCCAGGATATAGGAAGAATTGAGGTCTAGACACAAGTTTTGGAGATATGAACTTGAAGTCTTTTGCAGAGGAATACTGTTGAAAATGTGTAAGTGGGTGAGAATATCAAGGAAAAGATTCTAGAAGAATATTTGTGAAGAACATTCTATGAAATTTGTCAGAGAGGCAGAAGGGAGATGAAGAGTTCAGGGAATCAGGTGAAGAAAGAAAAGTTCACGAGAGGCAGAAGGGACAGTATCAAAGTTCAGAGTAAGGACTGAAAAGTATTCTTTGGATTTAGCAAATAAGAATTCATAATAATTCAAAATTGCATTGAATACAAGACAATATGCATAGAGAATTAGGTAGAGCAGAATCTGAAGAATCAGGAAAGAAGAAAATAAGTGATGCAGTGAAGTTTCTAATTGAGTCAAATAGAACATGAACCAGAGCAACTGGAGGACTAAGCTTGAGCAGGGAGAGAAATATTCTGCTATTGAGACAAAAAGTAAGAAAATAAATAGATGTGCTGAACTGCAAGTATATTTCTGGGCAGAGTAGAAAAGAAAATCAGGAGAATTTTAACATGATGGCTCCTTTTCAGTGTACGAAGTAGGGGGTGAGATTATCTCTTAAAACTGAGGAAAGAAAAATGAGCCAAAAAGTCAACAATATTTTTTGAATACCAATTATGTGAGTGTTGTCTTGCAGAGAAAAATAAAAATGGAACCTCAGTGTTATTATGCCATTTTTCCCATCATCACACTGTATTTAGGGGTAAAGGCAGGAACCAAACCTAAGTCTGTCAATCTGAAGCTGGTAGGCTCTCATGAGCTTGTATTTGCTGATATTAATGTAGCAGAAGGACTTGGATAGAAATAGTGAAGCAAGCAAGTATATTGTGATTTGATTCTCATAAGCAGCAGAGCATTTTAAAGGGGAAGCAGTCCAATTGGAGCCTGGGAAAAGGCCAATGAGATTGTCAGTGGTCATCCACCATGGTGCTCCCAGGGTAGCACCCTATTCTGATTATGTAGAATAGAAAAGACCATTTATTTACTTAACTGTGTCATGTAAATCATTCCTTAAAAATATCAAAATAATCAAAATGACTTAAACAATAATTCTACAATTACTGTTGTTTTGATCTAATAGTCATTTGATTTCTTCATGAGCTTACTAAGAAGTAGGAATGGCCATAAAACAAAAAGTAGATGCCAGTGATTCCCACTGCAACCAATACACTAGACCTTGACTAAGGTGTCAGTCCCCTGTGCATTTCCCAAGCTAGAGGCAACTAATCCAAACTCAACCTTCTGGTAGCAATTTTATCAGCTGAATCTTCTCAATGCAAAAAGCTAAGAACTAAGCCTTTGGCCCCTTAAATGTGCATCTCCTCTATATTGTCCTCCCTGAAAAACCAGCTAGTCTTCACTGGGCATCTATTTTTATTATGTTAAGTATACCATATGTAGACAACCTTGCAAAAACAGAATGTAACAAATAAAATACTTACGTTCAGGTATTGGAATGAGTGGGATGAATTTGCTGAACACGCTCTTTGTAATAGAAGGACTGGAAACAAAGCAGGAATAATTGCCTTTGTCGGAAGCCTCAACGTTTGCAATGTAGAGATTGCCATTTGTCTGAGACACAAATCGTCGTTTATCCATTGTGATAAATACAGGAAATTCATTTAGAAGCCAGCGGTAGCTAAGGTCATCTAGGAGAAAATATTGTCTTCTAAATATTAAGTGCTTCTCCCAGAGCTGTTACATAATCTAATAGAGGCTAGTAACAAGCTATCACTTAATCTAATAGAGCCTCTTGTAGAGCAAATGTTGGGAGAAAGCCAAGGTAAACAGTGTGAACTTTTAAATACCTACCATATTTTACATGAATATAAGCATTACACTAAGCAATTACATCTATTTATCTCAATTATTTTATTAGCTATTAATATTCTTTCATTTCAATGATGGGCTAAGTGAAACTCGAAGAGTTTACATAACTTGCTTAGAATTTCATGACTATTAAGAAGAAATGGGATTTGAATCCACATCTAATAACTCCAAAGCCATGACTAATCTGCTGTACTGCATTTTATAAATAAAATTAAGATCACTTACCATATTATTGCTTTATCTATTTTTTTTGTGTGTACACCTATTTTAAGTTATAGATTTAGAAATGAGCTTACATAAACTATTGTGGTCACATTAAACAGAGAAAACTACAGAAACAGGTAAGAGTATGGTACTGGTTTAATTAAATAGCAGGAGATGTATCATCGGGTCACTCTTACCCACATGGAATTCCTTTGGCTAAACACACTAGCTAGTTAAATGGAAAACTGAATTTCCTCCTTAATTTGCTGAATATCCTATAGTTTTCTATTCCTTCTTTCCTCTCTGTTTTGATGAATCACTCCCAGTAGTCATTCAAGAAATACACCAGAGGAGACAATGGGTAATGCATACCTCTAGGTCAAAAAACAATGATTCCCTTCCAAACATCTTGATCACATAAAGACAATTTCTACTAGGAAGCATACAAGTGGGAATCTCTTTAGGTCAGACTAGATAGGATTTTAGATGTAAAATGGTGGAAAACCAAGACCTCACAGCACTCAGGCTTCTTATAAAGATAAATAATCATGACAAACAACTATTTTGCTTTATGGAACTCAATGGGGCTAGCAAAGCTTTCAATGAGAGTGTGAAAGCACAATGACTATGAAAAGCTATCAGAGATGTACATTATATGAGCTTCACACAATTGGGAATAATAACCTGGGCATTATAGTTAGCTTAGCTATGAAATTTTCTCCAGCAAAATATCAAGAAAGACAGTGAATATGATTATATTCTTTTGGTTTTCAATATTGATCTTTTTAAATTGTGGAAGCATCATCATATGTTTGTTATCAAAGAAACGGAATACAGTTAAAAAGAGGCAGAAAATTAGACTACCATAATTAACCTCTAACTCAGAATTATGGTTAACATATATTTCTGGGCATTTATATCTGTGAATGATTGAATTATTTTAATTATTTTCTTTTTGCAGATTCAGGGTCACAGCATCATTAGTATAGGAAGAAATTGAGGGAGCTGCTTAAATTTCTGAAATGAGGTCTTCTGGGATAAGTAAAGAGGTATCACATTCAGAAGTATCACGTAGAATTTCATCCAAACTGATATTTATAGTACATTTTTATAAAGGCCTTGATCTCTTCTAATTCTGAATTATATTTCCTATTGTCAGTTGAGATGTAAATTAAAATTCAGTAGGGATTTCTGTTAAATATTAAATCCCCACTGCCCCTGCCCCACCACCAAAGCCAAAAAAGTCAAGAAAGTATGTATCTCCATACAGAGAAAGGATTTTTGTAACTGTAGAATGTATGAAAGATACTACCCACAAAATCCATTTAGAGTAATCAGTGGCTATGTGAATACAGAGACCTGGATTTTAATTCTCAATATAACTTTTATCAGGCAAATTAGTCACTCTATTATTCAGTTTCTCTAAAATGTAAGACATTTTCCTGTGCTCCACTCATAAGAGATGTGTGAAAATAAATGAAAGAAATGATGGTATTTGATCCTTATAAGGGATAAATGCTAAATGAGAGAAGTTATTGTCATGGTATTGTATGAACATAGATCTTGGACTATAGAATAACTACTCTGACTGATTTGATGCCCAGTGTAGATTCTCTAATTTATTTATTTTGCAAAACCTGAGTACTTTCCAAGTGCTGACAAACAAGATAGATGTGGCCTCTGCATTTACGGGACTTGCAATATAATTACTCTAACAAATTTTAGCTTATTGTTAAAGCCATTCACTTGGACAAAACAATAATTACAATTTCTTAGAATCTGTCAGCACTCAGTACAAGAAAGGTAGGAATGGCTCTTGCCACTTTTAAACAGGGAATCCAAGGCCTAATAGGGCGAAGTGACTTGCCTGAGGTCATACAGCAAAGGCGAGGCAGAACTGATGTTCTAAGCTTCCCTACCCACCATCAGCAAAATAAGCTGTACCAAGACTGGAGCAATAGCCACCCTGACTCTCCAACTTATGGATGAGATGTGATTTTGCCAATCTCTTGATCTTTGATCTTTTCTGATTCTGAAATCAAAAGATAAGCCCTGATATAGTTCTTTTAAGGACTCAACAGACCATTTTCGTTGTGTCTTTCCTAGCCCCATGCAGATGATAAAATCAACCTTCTTTGCAAAAGCCTGTTTTCCTCAGATTGCAGACTGGATTAAACAATAAATTACTATAAAATTATTTTTTAGTAAGAGTAAGTGCCAGGACATGTTTAAGAAATATTACTTTTACCGGTAGATTTTTGACACTTCTTGCTTTTGCCCCAGAAGCCTAGACCACATATATCACAGGTGAAATTCATTTTGTCCAATTACAGTGCATTAGGCTAACATCACTGTATTATTTTGAACTGTACCACTTATGTAGCCTTGCAAAATGCTGCATCAATCTCCGTGAAATAAACTTGAACTTCTTTAGTTCAAACCATGGGGAAATAACTTGAAAACTTTTTAGGAGATTTTCTTGCCTTTTAGAAAATTAGCTTGAACAGAATGGAATTTGCCTGTACCAAAATCACTGTAGTTTCTAATCAGTGCTTTAACACAATAAACTACATTAAACATGTTTAGAAAGAAAGTTTTATTGTGAGCTAATGTGTTCCTTACCCTGGTCTCTCATTCCTGTCTATTTTTGTGATGATCTATTGAGATTCATTCAAGGTTATATTCAGTATTCCAGGAGTTGTTTTTCTGAAGAGTTCTCTCATTTTCTTATCCATTTTAAATTTCATAATGTCCCTATTATCAGGTATCTCTTATTTTGTCAATAATACCTACCCTTGAAGTGACTTTTTTTTCCCATTTCTCTTTTGCTATATACAAATATATGATTTATATTTTGTGAAATGGAATGAGTCAATTTTTGATGGTTATATTGATAGAAAATTACTTGGAAAGAAAGCATTATATCTTCATTTTTGAGAGTCCATGACTTTAAAAAGTCTTGCATGTTTATGAATTAGGTATTGCAATATAATAAAACAAAAATCAAACAAGAAAGTTTATGTTTTCAGGAAACTTAACCCTACATTTAATTTAATGAACAAATCTATTTGCTCTTCATTTTCTCACTCTCTCATTCCTCAGATGTTATATTAAACACTTACTTTGTATCTGTACCAGAAAATTATTTGTATGTCAAATGTTATAAAATTGAGTGAACATTTATATTCAAATGCACATTTGTGATCGCTCTTGATAAATAAGAAAAGCGGTCCAAATGAGAGTTTCCCTCCTTGCAAGGAACTGAAGACCATCCAAATACAGATAAAAATATATGAGATTGCAAAAGTTGATATGTTTCCTTTTGAACTTTTTTTCCTGCACATGAATGAGGAAGATAACATCTCTATAATCCTGAATTAAAAATCTTTAGTGTAGTGAGATGCACTGAATAATAATAACAGATATAAAACATTGGCTTTACTAAAATATATTTGATTTACTTTAATAATAATCTATTGAAATTGCATATCCATTTTACTATTTTCACATCCATTTTAAATGAGGAAATTAAGATTTAGACATGCCTAAGTTTACTTGACATAGTAAGGACTGAATCGCAGATCACCAAATAGAACAACAGGGTTTGACAATTCTAAATGGTTGTGTATATAACATTCTTAGACATTCAGAACACAGTGACAGGTTCCTTTGCACCTTTAAACTCAAGTTGTAAGCCACAAAACATAAAACCTTAATTTACCTTCATTAAAACGGAAGGAAGATTTATAGCAGAGAGAAGTAAAATAGTACACATAAGCACATACATACACACATGGATTTGAAGCAAATGTCTGTTTCTATATCGGTTGAAGATGGCATATCTGATGAGCTACTAAGATAGATTCTGTGAATTATAATGTCTCTTGAACCAACTTATTTTTGTTTTTGCTTTTTCCACGTAAACATATCTATCTTTATTGAGATAAAGAAGTAATGGACTCTTTTGGCTTAATGGCTTTAAGCTTCTGCTGACCTTGCTCTGGCCCATGTATTTCACATTCAGCACCATGGCTTAGACACAGCAGAGACTGAAAAGCAAGACTTATCTTAGAAAAATCTCAAAGCCTGTTTTTTGGACCCCTGCTTCTTGCTTTCTATCTATTCTAATTCCCTAGGTAATCATATTGCAGTCCCATGGTTTTGAAAACAACTTATATAATGATGAATCACAAATTGATATTCCAAGCTTAGACATCACCCCTGAGATCTACACACATATAGAACTGCCAACTTGATTTCCATTTGGAAGCTTAACAGATGCTTCACATTTAACATATCCACACCTATTCCTTCAGCTGCAGTAATGGCAACTTCATTCTTTCAGGAGCTCATGGCAAAAACTTTTATGCCACCCTCAACTCCTGTATTTCTCTTCTATACCACAAAAAGTCAACAAGCAAATCCTCTTGGCTTCTCCTTCAAAATATATCTAGAATTTAACTAAAATATACCTAGATTTCCATATAGAAATTTAATATATTCTATTTACCTAGAATATGCCTGGATTCCCATCTCCACTGACACCACTCTGGCCCATCATATGCTACCTAGATTATTATAATACCTCTAACTGATCTCCTGTTTCCACCTTTGCCCTCCCCAAGTACTGTCTTAAAACAGTAGCCGGAGTCACCTTTCTATAACTTATGTCATGTGGCTCCTCTACTCAAAGCCCTCCAATGTAAATCACATTCAAAGTAAAAGCCAAAGTATTAATAATTGCTATGGATTATAAGGTCCCCCATAACGCAGCTCTTGTACCTCTCTTATTTCATTTCTTATTACCCTCTGCCTTATTCACCCTATGGCACCACCCTGCCTTCCCTGGTCTTCCATAGTCCCACCTCAGCATCTGCCTGGCATGCTGTTCCCTCAGAAACTCACATTGTTAGCTCTTTCATTTCCTTCCCGTGTTTATTCAAACTTTCCTTCTAGCGATGCTCCTCCTGAGGTCAGTCGTCTCCTCAATACTTACTCTCCCCACTTCCCTGCATTATTTATCTCTCCTTATTTATCAATATCTAACATGCCATATCTTTCAGCCATTTATCTTATTAATGTCTGCCCCTCCCAGTGGAAGATCTCTGAAGGCTGGTAGCTTTTCCTGTTTTGCTCCACTGAGGCATTTCTGTGGCATACATTGTGCCTGCTATATAAAAAATGCTAAGGAGAGATTTTTTGAGTCAATGAGTGATGGAGTGAAGTCCCTCCCATATTAAATGTGGTCAGATATAGTCACTGGATACTTTTGGTATTACCTTTTGGGAAATGCAATGAAAATGGTAGGGTTTTTAAATATACATACATATATATATATGTGTATGTGTATATATATGTATGTATATTTATATATACATACATATGTAATATATGTTTTATATGTATATATATATATATATATATATATATATATATATATGTAACGTCAATAGTTCCTTAAGAAAAAGTCTTTTCTCATTGAAAGGGTGTTACAACATTTTGAATTTTATATGTCACTCCTATATTTATCAAGCAATTATCTTTCTCCTATTGTGGAGAAAATTACCAATGTTTGATATATAAGCAACCACAACTACATATATACACATACACACACACACACACACACACACACACACATATAATTTCACATTAAATGTATACTACATAATTTTGTGTGAAATATATGTATCTGGCTAGGTACATACACACACATCAGATTGATGTATTTCACACAAATTCCTGCATGGATTTTAAAAGCTTGTTATGTTTCATTCTCTATGGAGATGTTTAAAGTCAAATTTATGACATAATATTAGAACTATAAGAATAGAAAAAAATGATTTTTGAATTGTGAAGAGAGGTATTTGTATATTGTTTCAAAGGGATATTTGATAAATAAAACAAATGAAAATTGGTGAAAGCCTATAAAGAATTCATCTTTTAGTTAGCACTTTTGCAGCTTTTGTCTTCGCCATATTAAATTACATAAAACATATATTCAAAGTCGAATCTCATAACAGATGACACTTAATTTAGCACCATTTTTAAAGTAGATAATTATTGCAGATTGATATTCCTAAGGAGATTAATAATTTATTATGTCTTTGTCCCTTTCTAGTGTTTAGTTACATACAGCTAACAGTATTTTATAGATACTAACTTGTTAAGAAAATGATTGGTTATACATCCTTCCTTGGTACTGTTCTATTTCAGGAATATTTTCTAGAAAATGATCAGAATTTCCCTGTGGAATAGGAACTTTAATGATGACATAATACAACATATATATGTTTATAAACTGAAATGATTAGAGATCGTTTGGACTAGAACCAAGTGACTAATGAGCCAAGAGAGGAAGTGTCCATAATGATCAGTGACACATTACAAGCTTATGCAAACATCCAGGCTAATTAATAATGAGCCATGATTATTAATAATGTAGCATTATTACTACGAAAATGGAGCTTGCCCATTTTGTTTGATAGATGCTAATAGAGAGGAATTAAGTTTACCTGGAAAATGGTACGGAGGGTCACAGAGCAGCACCATTCCTTTCCCTTCTTTTACTCTGACCTCAGGACGTTCCTCAGGTGGGAAAGGATCAAGATCTAATTACAAAAGGAAAAAGAGGAACATTCACTCTCCAGTCAAGAGAAAGAGAGACATTCATCAATTTTACCTTTCAGCGACTAACTCACTTTTGAGATATAGCACTTCTCAGTGGTTTGGTGAAGACTAGTAAAGTCAGCTCCTCGTTCTTACATTGCTGGGATTTGTATACACTATAAAGTTCTGTGATGAGCTCAAGGTCTACAGATATTGGGAGCAGCCTGCATAAGAATTCTGACAACCCTGAAAATTACAAACGTCCTAAAGGCTTTTGTTTCAGACTTAGGGAGAGTCTCAGGCAGGGCACTTGGAAATACAATGAAATCAGACAAACCTAGGGACCTACCAAAGAAAGTAAATAAGAAGAAATGACTTAAAGGAATGGACTCATTTGATGGGTATTTCCCTTCCTGAGGGAGGGCTTGGATATCGGGAAGGAATAAGGGTAAAAGACAGGACCCTAATTAGGGAGCATGAAAGTGACCAATCTCTTGCTCCTTTTCAATTTCTGGCTTTGCTTCAGTTCTAATTTTCTTTACTCTTTTCTATATATTTGGAACTTATATTCCACTTGATTCCTTGATATTCTTCCAATCCTTCATTTGTCTTACTGACTCTATTTTTTTTCTGTCTTTCTTCCTGTTCCTTACCTGTGATCAGCACCCAACATTTAATTGTTACTTTTCTCCATATAAATTGTATACCTCTGAAAAGCTATTTATTCTAAGTGTTACTTTTTGCAGAGGACTCTTCAAATCTACTTCTCTAGCTCTGATGTCTTACTTGAATGCCATCCCTATCCTCAATAGCTTACTTGACATTTCAACTTGGATAACTCAATATCACAATAACCTCTGCATGTGAGGCAACCATTTAAATGCTTCCTGCCATCCTTGAAATTGGTTTTTCTTGCTCCCATCACATTTTTAATGAGAACAGAATGTCTCTGCCCTTTGACTAGACATTCCTTGGAAAAAAAATTTTACAGTCTTCTTTCCTTTTGGACAATGCAACCTGTTAATTCTTTCCTTATAGTTAATGTATGTAATTTACATTTCCACTGTCACCACACTAATTTAATCTTACTTCTATTCCTGGCCCTCTCATTCCCTCTTGACAAAACCTACCATGTAGGACTTCTTAAAACATTGTTTTCATCCTATAATTCATTTTGCAAAAGATTTAAGTGCTCACGTAAATCACATACTGGAGATCACCTGGTGCAACTCATCTCCCAATGTAAAATTTTCTTTCAGAACAACCTCTAATTTTTAGCTTAGCACAGTTTGTCATTATTGGCCCTAATTAAGAGAAATTTTTCATGTAATTTAAATTTAAAATAAATTAACAAAAATATAATTAAATTTATTCCTACTATGAGAAATACAATATTAGTGAATAAGGTATTGTCATATTGGATTGATCTTTGAAGAGTCATAGCCATTATGTTGCAATATGTGAAATTTTCTTCCCTCAAAAGCCAATTTTCACCCCCTTATGGGTGATAGTGCCCCTTTGATAATATATGGCTTGACGCTTGCATTGATGCTAATTTTTAAAGAGTCATTCAAGATCCTCAGACCCTGGTTTTCCTTTAGTTGACAACATCATCTTTCACTGTTTCAAGTGCCTTCATTGTATGCCGTGGGCACTTTGTTGTCTCCATCACACAATTAGGTCCACTCATCTTGTACAATGCACCTCATCTGTGATGCCTTCCTCGCACTATCCTTTCTTGATTTTTCTTCTTGCTGAACTCATCTAAATACACTTACCATTTTTAAAAAGTTACAGTTTACTTACATCCAAAACTCAGGGTTGCTTCAGTGCTTCTGACCATCCCATAGCTATTGGATGCTAAACAGTAGTAGATTCCAGCATCTTTCTGTTTGTCAGGGTTGTTGATAACAAGGTTTCCTCCTACCATACTGTATCGATCACTGGTCAGATCAACGTCCCCATTATTCATTCTCCATCTATGAGAAAAAGATATAAAGGTCAATCTCGGGCCATGAGACCTGGAAGCTGTACGCGGCTAACAAAGTTCTTAAATAATCTGGGTACAGCTCAGGGTAAATTCAGACAATAAGAAATATGATTCAGATGGTATTTCTTTGTACTCTACAATTCAGAGTCTCTAGGATCATAATTCGTAATTTAGCTCAGGTACAGACAGGTAAACGTCAAAGTACATACATATTTTGTCTTTTTTTTTCATGAGGTATCCGAGTGACAAATATTTTGTTCAGTTTTTCTCCATAAATTGATTTCTTGGCAGCTATACATTGGACATAATTGACAGTCATCTATGCACCAGTTAGATTCATATATATGCAGATATGCTGCATAAAATAATAAAAGTATTGTTCTACCAAAAATAAAATATAAAATATCAATATCTGACTCTAAATTTCAAAGTAATTTTTCAATAAAACAAACTAATTGACATTGGGGTTTGCTCAGTAAGTGGCAATTCTGACCACTAGAGGTCAGTCACACAATTTGTAAATTATAAAAATTAGTTGTGTTTTAAAAAATTTATTCCAAGCCACAAATATACCAGTAAAACTAGATCTTCCTCAGCCTAGAGCTAGTGGTCACTTATGTCTTTTCTCAAAACTCAAAGATTACTTTTAATAAAGTAGAAAAGAAAAACAATTCTTTTTCCATCCTACCACATAATTTCATAACAATATAAGACAGGTTGCAGGTAATCAGAGCATTAATTGATAGGGATAGTGTTATAACTAAATTGACTGGAAACAGGAATCTAAATTTCTGATGAGATAATGAAAAGAATGCATGTAGAAGATAGTTCTCAACTAAAAGAACCAACTGTATAATTTTATCAGGGTTTATCCTTTAAAGTTCCATGTCCTCAGGAAAGTCATACACCTAGAGCTGTGGTCAAATCGCTGAAATAGTAGTGGCTGGTGACCACATCGCTCATTTCCTGGCCACTTCTAATTAGAGTAATAATCATACCCAAAGGGCCTAATTACTTTAGAATATCTGTTACAAAATCAAAGTTACTGGAACATTATTAGTTACAATTTTTGCAGTATAGGAAATAATTCAAAAGCAAGCATAGGGAACTGTGATTTTGCATTTTAAAAAATTACTAAATTCCAACCCAATGAATAAAGCCTTCCTCTGTCCTCAGGTGATGGCAATATTGTCCCTGCCTGAACCATCCAGTGTTAAGTTGCTCAGCTCTTGTCAAGACAGTGTGTTTCTTTGTTGGGCAGCTCCAATTTTTGTAATTTTTGCCCTCATTATGTTGGTTCCAAATTTTTGTTTACTGTCTTAACTTCCTCCACATGGATCTGACTATGCTTATGACATCATACCAGGATTACCTTTTTCCGTGTTTGAGGAGGTTCACTGGTCTAGCTTCAGAAACATACACTATTGCTATAATTTCTTTTAGTAATTTTTTTTTATTGTAGTGCTTATTTCTTTGGGGATGGGGTCAAGATAATGAAAGCCGCAAGGCTTGTAAGTTGGAAGTAAAGTACCCCGTTGTACCTCTCAGGATGTTGCTATGAATAACAAGTTGTCACAGAACATGGTACAAATATAAAACTACTATATGAATGAAAAATTGGATGATTGACAAAGTTAGTATAATTTGGCCTGAAATTAAGTACATTTTAAAAACTTTAAACGTTCTTTTCCATCAAAGTAGTTGCATCATGAGCTGATTTTTTTTCTGTTCTTTCATTTTTCCCCAACAAAAGGAGATTGCCTTCATAACGAGATTAAACATCTATCTGTCTTCTCCAGTTATCTCTATTAATGTATGGATAACCAGGTCAAACTCAAAGAGGAAATTTCAGTGCTGGGTGCAACCTGTGAGAGGCAGTTGGTGACTTACTGGGCAAGCAAAGCTTTGGTTCTTATTGTGCCTGTGGGGTGGGATGATGGGGGCAGCAAGGAGAAGCATAGCCTTTTTCATGTTTCTAGAACATTATCTAAGAGCAACCCTCTCTTCTGGTTGCCTCCATTCCAGCCTAGAGATTGATTTTCTAAGGTCCCTTGTATGAATGTTAACAACGGAGTATTACAGAATAAGTGTCGCTGAAAGAGCTTTTGGGATTTTATCAATCTATCTAGGTAGATAAATACTGAAAAAATTGCATACTTCTTCAGAAGTCCTAAAACCTGTGTTTCAGTCCCTGATTTGTGTTTTACTAGTTCTTGAGCAGGCAAATTTACTTACTAAGGATTCAACTTCCTCTCCGGTAAGATTTTCTTGGATTGGATCTCCTCTACAGATCTTATTAGTTCTATTATCCCATGTCAATGACAAATAGGCTCTCATGATATATGGCTTAAGGGTGGAAATAAGTCTAGCCCATCAAATATTTTCACTACAAATGTATTATTTATCATTTATAAAATACCTACTTATATTGTACTCCCATGCATGAAATTGAAACAATAAAAATTTCAATGGGATGGTGATTTTGTATCTGAGTTCATATTTTATCTTAAGAATAATTTTGTAATTATAACCAAAGGCAAGAAAAACCTGAGTGCAGTTATCAAATGGGTGGAAGGGGATATTCTCTTTAATAAGAACTTTTTATAATAATAGAAAGTTACTTTCCTACCCAGGAAAAAATATTAAAATTAACTTTGTTGAGTGACAACCTTCAGTTAAGTCAGGTGACATTAACACACTACAGCCCCCAGTTTCTCTATCAGTCTCTTGTTTTGTCTTCATGGAATCATCGCACAGGTGAAATTCAAATCCATTTGCATTTAGTTGATTTTTGCATCTCATTCTTTGCATCAAACGAGAAACTGTTAGTATAATTTTCTGACCCATCTGAAGCAGGAAAATTCATTGTTGCTTTTTATAAAGTTGTTTTTGATAGCATACATATGTAACCCAGAAAAACAGAAATAGGTATGTTTATACAGAGTTTCCTATAGATAGAGACATTTAAGAAATTTGCTGTGTTGGATATAATATAGATATGAGACTGTTGAAAAAGATGGTGCTTTCTACAGTTATTTGTTCAAGATCTTTATGTGTACTTAATATAAAAATGTATCCATATCTATAGGTATGAGTTATCCAGGCCAATGCATACAAAAACATTTTATCCTCAAATCTGTATATTTAAATTATGCATAATTTGATGTAACCATTTGTAGGCTTAAAAACATGATTTCCATTATACAATTTATAAGTGGATAATGTCAAATGCCAGTAGCATTATCTGTGCAGAGAACAGTAAGTGAATTATTTGCATATATTTAAGAAAACCTGCTATTTGAGCATCAGACAACTTCTTAAATAGTTTGTATGCCAATATTATTGTTAATGTCCATGGAATTTGTAGAAAGCACTATATTGTATCTTTACAAGTTCATACATGCTGATCTGTGATCATTACTCTGACACTCCATTCTGAAAAGAGCAGTGAGGTACATTACTTGTAAACCGGGAATGGGCTGGCTCGTGCCCGACAGTTGAGTGAGACTTTTCCTTCCAGTGATTCCTCTGGATAAATGGTATTGATTGGCTGCTCTTCAAAAATTGGTCCAAATCCTTTGTCTTCCTCAGAAACTGCAAGAAAAATAACATTGTTTTACATTGTGCTGCTTTATAAGTTAAAGAAAGTTTGAGAACATTGGAAAAACATTTGAAGAAAATCAGAAACAGACTCACCATTTTTAATTCAAAACAAAGATATCTGCCCCCCTAATACTGAGCCAAACGTTAGGTTCTTCATTTACAATTATTTTCTGCACATCTCTGGTCATTTCTATGTGTTACCAAACTTAAGTACTTACCGCCTCCCCAAGCAAGCTATATTTTCATGCCCCTGAGCCTCTGCATATGCTTTTTGTCTTCCTAGAATCATCATTCTCCTTTTCTCATCCTATTAAAATTTGCATGATCCTTTGTGACCTAGCCATAGTTAGTTCCATCAGGAAGCCAAAACCTCTCATCTCTCCTGGCTTTTATTGGTCCTCAAAATTTTGAGTTCCTGTAGCTCCCCATATAGGTTATGGTACCTAATACACATGCTATGATTCTTGGTGCAACTTTCTGTTCTGCTAGATTGCAAATGCTTGAGAACACGTGGTTATGTCTTTCATCTGTGTACATCATTCTCCTGGGTAGCTGTCTGGTTGTCTGGAAAACAATAGGAACCTAATGAGTTTTGAACAAGAGTCTGAATGAAAAGGAGAGCTTCTTGATTTGGGGGAAATGAGTCTCTTTTCTTAGCAAGATTTCTCATTTTTTTTTCTAAATATGTGACTAGCATGGCACTCAGCAACATGTAGTACAATCAATCAATAAATTACATGGATAGTGGATCTGAGCAACTGGTTTAAAATTTATCCCAAACAGCTGTGTTGAGAAACAGTTGATCCTGGTGGTTTATTCTCTCTGGAAGGGAAGAGTGACACCTCACAGCAGGATGAGGAGAAGAAAATCACTCACATGCCACCACTGTGGCAGCATTTACAGAGCATAGTGCAAAACCATATGCTTCAAATGAATTAATGATCTGTGTGGCTAGAAAGAATGAATATTCTTACAGGTCACTGGAATGTCTCTGCCTGATCGAGCCATGATTCACTCCTCTAGTTTATTTTTTGAGAGAGAGGTAAAGGCAATGGCAACAGGCATTTTATCTTCTCTAACACTAAACTTGAAGATGAGAGCTCTGTTACAGCTTCCTTTTGAACAAATAGTTTCGTTATGTCATTTAAATCTTGCCACAGTACCATTATTAGTGTGCCTTTGGACAAATTATTTAATCTCTCCAAGGCTCAATATCACTCTTTATAAAAGGGATAATAAAATCTACCCGATAAGGTTATTATCAGAATTATTTTGAAATAATTCATGGACGATTGCAGTGTACCTGGCTTATAGTCAGCAATGAATAAATGCTAATTTTGAAAACATTCTCATAAATTTGTCAATCTCTTTGAAATTTAGTTTATGTTTCTTATGTATATAAACTATGTGACTAATCATGAAGCTTCTAAAAACAAGAAGCCAAATTTTCACTCTTGTAGCTCTGGTGCTATAAGCACTGTGTTGTTTGGGACACTCAGTATATTTTTGTTGTACATGTACATGGCTACTAAATCCTCAAGTTAGTTTCTCCCCACTCCCTCCAGGTATGAAGAATTAATCTCTCTAATTAATAAGTTAATCCAAAATGTTTCAAAGGGAGCTGCCTCGTTCTTGGTTGAAATTTGCTGAAACTTTTATTCAATAGTTTATAGACATCAGACACATTCCACAACCATAATCCCATTTCAGATAGGAGATAAATAGCTGGATCAGAATCAGAAGAATGAGAGAAACTAGGACTTATCTTCTGCAATGAACTTTTCTAGTTATTGTCTTATGCAAGCAATTTGTTTTACAGGGCCAGGACATTCAGGCATATGTCCTAAGGACTCCATGTGCCTACCACATTTATTATTAAGATTACAGATATGAGGTATTCACAGAGATGCTCTCTGCTAATAATTTTGAAAGTTGTATTCTAGGTTGTCTCCAGTTCCATATCCTTCTTGAGGTTGTAAAAGCCATAATTGCATATAATATTTTCTGCTTCACTTCTAATACTTTTCCTGATGATGCCTGATATTTTCTGCCTATTCAGGCTGTAACAGCACAGCAGGGAAAAAATGAGAAATGAGTCCTGAATCCCTGATGACTAAAGACTTTTGTTTTTTATGGAATGTTTGGATTTTCTGACTTCTGAAAGAAATGACCTTGTGCTTATCTATGATAAAAATCATATGCTATTTTTCTCCTCAGTTTGACAATTTCACAAGCTTTTCCTTGAGTCTTTCCCAATTGCATAGGTTTTCTGACTGGAGCAATTTAGGAACACCTGCCAATTTGAAGATCTAGTTGTTTCTTCTCAGTGCATATAAAAATGCTTAAAAAGTAGAGAAGGGTACTTTTCAATATATCTAGATTCTCTTCTTGAAGGTAAGATAATTTCTATTCCCACTAGAATCCTTGATAAATAATGACTTTAGTGTGAATTATTTTAAAACTATTTTAAATCTAAGTTCATAAAGATTTAGAAAACTAAAAATAAATATTGCTTAGGGGATTGGAGAGTTCATAAAGATCTTCTAAGTACTTTGGTACTTATGCGACAAGCCTGGTGATGATGTCAATGTTCTTATTACCAATGGAGAAAGCTATCCATTTAAGGAGATTTAAGGAGAAATGAATGCAGATGCAAGTATGCAGATACTTTAAACATAAGACCACAGATATACACTGGATTGGATCTTGAGTTTCTACTCCTTACAACAGTGTTAGCATAGAAATTTCAGATGGTCATATTGGGGGCTACAATTTGATGCACTATAGATGTTAGTTGTCCTTGATTCGGACTTTGGGTACTCAATAAGCTTTTAGACACAACACCAAAAGCATTATCTATAAAAGAAAAAAAAAGATTAAGTTGGATTTTCTTAAAATCAAAAGATCTGCTCTGTGAAAAACATTGTTGAGAGAATCTCAGGTCTTCAGGGTTAAGGATTTTTCTTTGAACCTTCTCCAACTTGCATCCTATATGCAGCATACTTGAAAGATTTTTTTAGAAGCTAAATATCTGTCTCATTTAATAATGGGGAATACAGTAGTGATTAAATCTGACTTCCTAAAATATGAACTCATCTCAAGAGGTACAGGCTTACATTAATAAAGACAGATTACACAATCGTATTTCTAATGTAGAGACAGACAGCCCTGGCCTGTCTAGTGTCTGCTTCTAATGTGGCTTCTAGAAGTGCCATTATATGGAGGGTCATCATCCAGATTTCTAAATTTAATTTATAATTTTATTTGCTTCCTTTAAATAAGCTTTTATCTTTTGAAGTAAGGTGAGTTATGGTCATTCAGAATTACTTTGATTATTGAAAGTACTGCTTGGCACCTTCAAATACAATAAATACAGATTCACATGAGCATATTGCTATGTAAAGATTAGTATATTTTCATATTTTAATAAAATGAATAGTCTTAAGTATTTCTTTTGATAATGTGTCCTTTCATTTACTCTATATGCGTTTGAGATAAAAGTTGGTCAGCTTTTAGAGAACTGAGAATATGTTTTAAGTAGCTTTTGCATCTTAATAATATGTATTTTTAAAAAAGTAAAAGGTGCTAGCAATGAAAATTTTCATTGAAAATTGTAGAATGGCACATACAAATAATGATGAGGCTATACGTATCGGGTTATACTGAGTGTGTATATAGGATTATTTCTATACGTAAGGAATGAACAAACTCTCAAAGGGGATATACAAATATTTAACAATTTTGGAGTGAATTTTTATAGGCCTAACTGGATAATTTTGGTACCTTATGCTACTTTTTTTTCTCAATTAAAATATTTTTCACAAATTATATGTATATATTTCCCAATACTCCACTTATATTTGACCTTTATAGGAACAGACAATGCAAGCTTCCAGGGATTAAAATAAGAAGCTAATCTCCAAGAAAATACTGAAATTATGTTTCACATTGAGAAAATATTACAGTTAAGATATTTCCCTTTGCCCTTTCCAAGAACAAAAAGCAGAATAGGACATACTTCATATCACATTAATTTTTCTATTAAGTATTTTGTTTTCTAACTATATGCTTCTTTTCTAAGCTTTTTAGCTTGAATCACATAATGTATTCCATCTGATGGCTTAGCAATTACTGTATATAGTTTATTTTAGGAACATATTTGGGCCCTTGAAAGAAAAGCTACCCAAAGCAAGCATGTGTATTGCATTGCCAGGTTCAGTATGAACCTCTTGACCAGGATCCTCATGTTCCCCCTGCAGACTGTACCTGAGTTTATTGCCATGCTAGCTCATCTAGAGTGCTCAGATCTAGGGAAAAGGACTTTCAGGGATATTAAATTCAAGGCTCAGCAAAGGATCCAGTAATGTAAGCATTATGTTCTCAGCCTACCGAAAATACTGTCATCTATTGATTTTTTTTATAGCTATGGAAACACTTAGATGACAAATTTTGATGCTTTGGAAGTATTATGGGGGTAAAAGGCCTAAGAAACAAACCACAGATAAAGATTGTGTTTTTAAAAACTACAATTATTTTTTAAATACATTTCTTCTTTTAATAGATAGATTCTTCTTAAAAGGAGCACAAAGTTATAGGTGACCTCTCAAGCTAATTGAGGCTTTAACACTTCACATCTCTGTTTTGATCTGCTCTTAATGTAAATTCATTTTATTTCCTACCTGATAGTGTGAGTATCATAAATCTATTACAGATGTAAGTACGTTTCTTAAATGTGATCAAAAAGATTAAGATAGAAATAAATAATGTATGAATATCTGCAGTCATATTTACTAATGCAAATGACAGGCAGAAGCTACTGCTCTTTCATTCTCACTTTCACCATTAATATAACCAGTCAATTACATGATCTCAAACAGGATTACTTCACCTATCACTATGTGGAGAGTCTCCACTGTACTGTTGTTATTTTATTTCTGGAAATTGAAAGTAAAATTATAATTTGTGCTTCAGAGGTCTTTTTATTTTTATTTATTTTATATACTTTTTGAGACAAACTCCACTTCCCATTCTATTTCACCTCAATCTTTTAGTTAGTAAACACAATTTTATTTATGTTATCGTAAATATGTTATAAGAATAGTCCTTGGAAAAATCTGTTAGAAAAAAGTGATGACATCAAAATTTAAAGAGACTAAGATGGAAATTTTTACCACATTTACAATATTACAGTGATTATTGGTTGGGGAGTGGTTTAAGCTCTCTTGAAACTCTCTAAGAGAGTTAATATTTAAACTGCCACAAAGCATCCTTCTTCACATAGTACAACTTCCTGTCTTCACTACCACCCATGTCCTGCTGGAAAGAGAAGATGGGCTTAGCCTTTAAATACACTGGTGCCCCAGTTTTTTAGGGTCATGGGTAATAGGTAACATTGCAGTACTTTTCCATAACTAAACAGAAAGAGTAAGGAGTTGGTCTCAAAAACTTGTAGAAATATAGTTATTAGAATAAAGCATAGGGCAGAAAAGTTAAGTGAACTAAATTCTCCTTGCTTGGCTTTACCTGCCCGAAGGGAGCCTGTCACATACCTCTAGAGCAACTACTTCCTTGTCCTGTGACCCACCTCTGAAGCATCTAGACTCTGTTTTACATACCTGGCTGGGCATCTTCTGACACCTATCTCATATCTGACTACATCCTAGTAAGTCTCACGAGATCCGATGGCTTCATCAGGGGTTTTCACTTTTGCTTCTTCCTCATTTTTCTCTTGCTGCTGCCATGTAAGAAGTACCTTTCACCTCCTGCCATGATTCTGAGGCCTACCCAGCCATGTATAACTGTATGTCCAATTAGACCTCTTTTTCTTCCCAGTCTCGGGTATGTCTTCATCAGCATCATGAAAATACAATAGGTATCCTTGATTTGGCATGCAAGTTCTAGCGTGGGTTGTTCAGTGATTCTTCATGATTTTTCATTTTCCTACCATTATGCAGTGGCTTTTGTAAGTTACTAGTGTTATTATACTCATGGAGCATCTACTTGCCAGTCATTACGCTAGAAGTCATCACTGCAATTCATTTTTTAGTCCTCACAACAATGTTGTGATTTTTACACATTGGAAAGCTGAGGCTCATAGAAGTTACATAATTTACACAAGATAATAAGATCAGCTAGTGAGTATGGAGCTGAAAATGCAAATTCAGGTCATCTTACTCCAGACCCTGTATTTTTTTTCCCATATACCATGCTGATTTTATTTCTGCAAGATCTGTTTGGTAGTTGAAGTAGGATCTAAATTAGAAGGATTATTAAACAATAAATTTTACAATATCTGTGAACTTTTAATTGAACTGAATCTTAAGATTCCAAGTTCACTAACTTTAGTTATCTCCCTTGCAACAAAGCAAGAGGCTTTCAAAAATAAGTTCAATGCTTACAAATTTTAAAATACTGCTTCCAAGTTTAGTGGCATAGCACTGTTACAAAGCATGCAGGAAAAAATGCCAGCCACATTTAATCTTTTCCATTTGCTACAATCCTCTAATAGCATATTTGTTTATGATGTATCCACTCATTCAACAAACAATTTGCTTATAATCTCAGAAAGATCACCTTACACAATTTCACAGTAATCTAATATTAACCATTTGGCTTCAATTTAGAGAGTTAATGGCTTAAAGCAGAGATAAAATATGATTCAATAGAGAAAAGATGTTTACAAGATTTACTCTTTGGTCAACTTACCTCCATGACCATATCTTCTGAACCATGTAAACTCTAAAAATGAAAGAAAAAACAGTTTTAATCCTGAAGCAATTATTTAAATTGTGGTTTCAAACATTACTTGAATAGCTGAGATGCTAGGCAATGGAATGAGAGTAGTGGTCCTTTACTATAAAGGTTGAAGTATCTTCACATCTGTGCGTATATTTATTTCTTAAATTTACATTTATAGTTGTAGCACCAAAATTTGCAGTTAATTAGTATGAATTTTCAGTACTAAGATAATTTTTGTTTTATTTTATTCATAAAAATAAGACTTCACTCAATGACTTCACCAAATTTTTTCTTTCTTGTGTTTATATTATATATGTGTAAATATATTACGCATATGATTACATATATGTATGTGGGTATGTGTGCATAATTACTATGGTTATAAAGTATATATTTATCAATGTCATTAAAATCCTTAAGTACTAATGAAATGGTCTTTTCTGAGTTTTGGAGTCAGCATAATAAAAACTATTCCCCAAAATAAAACAATGCTTTTCATGTTCTTAATAATGATGTCCTTCAGATTAATCATTTTAGTGATTAATCATAAAAGGATGAAGACCATTTATGTCTGAACAAAACACTCAACAAATACCTATTGATTTAGATCATTAATATAAAAGTATTAGAAAAATTTATTGTTAGAATTCAATTTTTCTAATACTTTCATGATAATGACCTAGCTGAATAAGTACTTGTTGGGTGACTATATCAATTTTTCAGATAAAGATATGATGTGCCTCTCATTGTACAAAATAGGTCTGAATGCTTCACACTTGCCTTTGAAAGACAGAAATGTAATATTTCTTTGTCCTAAAACTAATATACTCTCAAAATTGTTTTACGGTCGTATGTCCCTACACCCATTGCAGATTATTTTAATCATTTTTGAATTATATTGATCTAATTGGTAAAAGAGTTATAAGATTCAATAGTGTGTTACATCTACCTAGAGCTCTCAAGAAGTGATTATTAATTTTCAGAAATTTTGTGCATCACTTGTTAAACATAGCCAGTATTAAAAATTAATTTACAAACACATCAATTATGTTAAGAGTAAAGGGAACAAATACTTAAAACCCATTACCTTCTAACTCTCTTTTTTTTTTTTTTTTTTGTTGTTGTTTTTTACTATATGCCATTGTGGTTATTTATAGCTGGATGGTGAAATATTACAGACTGGTGAGCTGTTGCACATCTTTTTCAGTTCCACATTAATGATGTCAAGTTCAAATTAGCCACAGCAGGAGAATTAACTCCTCAGGAATAGACAAATGCTACACTCCAGGGGCCTCCCCAGAGATCTAGATCTTAAACATTTACCAGCACACTATTATCCAAGATTGATGAAGTTCTGTGAAATCTTAATTGAAATTAAAAAGAAAATAGGGTCAGCCTAAATACATATATATCTACTTGTCTGACCCAGCTATCAAAAGAAAATGTTTACTTCATACAACACATTTAATAAAATAAACACACATCAATTATGTTGACATAATATATGTAGAATATACAAAGGATATTTCTTACCTGCTAGACAGGTAGTAATAGATATTATCACAAGATGACTGACCAGCAACCACATTTTCATCTTGTATTCAGTAGTTCAGTTCAATTTTCCAAAAAAGAATTTAGCTTTATGGCAGTTGGATAATATTAAACACCTGCATCAAGAAAGAAAACAAGAAGCAAAGAAATGGAGGAAGAGGGGAAAGAAGGAGAGAGGAAGAGAAGAGAAGAAAAGAAAGAAAGGGAAGGAAAGGGAAAATGTTCATCATTTGAGGAAAACATTATTAACATTTGATTTTACGCTTTTTGCTTGTAGAATAAGTTTTCATTTATTTAAATATATTTGTAAACACCATGTTTTGAAAAGAGTAGAGTCAGTATCAGAAGACTTCAGCTGACATCCTAGTATTGACACAGTACAATCATGAGCGTCACTCAATCTGTGTTTGGGTTTGTTTTCATCTTTAACCATTGAGTATAATAATCCTTTTCTAAAAATAGCACAGTTATAAACAGTTTGATATAAGTCACTTAATTGAAGGTTACATTTAATCGAAGGCCTGGTGGAAAATTCTATTGAAGTTACATTGGTATAAGAGCTTGTAAACTCACAGACATTACACAAGGGTGATAATGTTAGCATTTTCTGTTGGTGGCTTGTGGAAAATTTTTGCCAGACATGCTAATTTTAAATGTTAAAATATATTAACTAATAAAATATTCATTCCTCCTCATTCCTTTTACTTCTTTCATTTATTCATCCAACAAAAAGCAAATAATCATTCCTTGCATGTCAACAAGGGACAATCAAGGTTTTGGGGGTCCAAAATTGTCCATTTGGGGAGCCTTCTTTAAGGACAAGAAGAAAATAAAATAACTCATATAAATGAAACTACAAAACCATGTAGGAGTCTAATTAAACCCTCTTTTACAAATTTTGCAATAATGTATGACCATGATTATATTGCTAAGGTTTCACCCAGGACCCTGGAATAGCCTCATGCAGGTGAAGGGCCCTGCAACTTATGTTTCATTATCTCCGTGGTAAAACCCACCACTGTGACTAAGCATGTACCTACGAAGACTGAAACAAGAAAGACATAGATTGTTTGCTCTTAAGAAGTTCATAGAAAAAAAAAATGCACAGATATGTGAACAAGCCAGCGCAATGACATAGTTGCATGGACCTGTATGCTATTAAATGTGAAAAAAGTGTTGATCTTTTTCATTGAAACCATGGGAAATGCAGCGTGGTGGGAACAGGCCTGCCTGCGGTAGGCAGGGCATTATACAGGAGTGTAGCATTCTTAGATTTGAGTCATTTGGTGACTTCCTGCCTCAACCACCTCTTATTGGAGCACCTTAAGAATGACATGGCCCAGGGCATTAGAAAGAACACTCTTCAATAATGACACAATAGGAGTTTCATCTTGAAAAGACATTTAATCATGCTTTAAAAGAACATATAATAGCATAATTGAAGTTTCATGACATGGAGTTGAGCAAAAACATAAATAAAAATAGAGCATGGGCTGGGTGTGGTGGCTCATGCCTGTAATCCCAGCACTTTGGGAGGCTGAGGCAGACAGATCACCTGAGGTCAAGAGTTCAAGACCAGACTAACCAACATGATGAAACCCTGCATCTCTACATACAAAATTAGCCGAGCGTGGTGGCACATGCCTGTATCCCAGCTACGTGGGAGGCTGAGGCAGGAGAATCACTTGAACCAGTAAAGTGAAGGTTGCAGTGAGCCGAGATCATTGTGGCACTGCACTCCAGCTTGGGCAACAAGAGCGAAACTCTGTCTCAAAAAATATATATACAGAGAGAACATGAAAACAATTCTGAAGGGAAAACACATAATGCTGTAGTATTAAACGTATAAACATATTCAAACATTATTTAAAATGGCAACATTAAAATCCTACTGATTGCTTGCCTCATACTATTATATGAAAGAAAAATATGGGAGTCTTTATTTTTTAATGGATTTTGAGAACACATATACTCCCTGATTTGCAAGAATCCTAGCACTGGCAGAGGCTGGACAAAATTTTTACCTGGCCCCTGGTAATATATGGACCAAGATAAACATATTTTTTATTTTAATATATATAAGCCTGAAATTTTAAATGTTTATTAATTTCCTAGGCAGAATTGGGCAGAGAGGAAAATAGTTTAACAGAGGTGAAGAATGAAAAACAATTCTTTTAGAGGACAGTAATATCAATTACATGATCTGTGGAAAGATTTTTAGCTTTTTATTTTGATTGTGCATCACATGATTGTTATCTAAATATAGATCTAAGTGAAAATGTCAGAAATGTGTACACATTGGTTATACCTATCTAAACTTCTGTCACAACATGTGTATTTGATCATTTTTTCGTACTGATAGTTTCTAATTCTTCTCATTGGATTATGCATACAAAATGAGATGAGTTCTTTTAATGAAGAGAAAGTTGGTAAAAGCAAACACATTAAAATGCCAAAACTTTAATACCAATCCAGGAATTCACTGTAAAAATTAATTTAGATAATATATTATTATTTTTAATTTTAATTATTACATAAATTCTATTATGTAAACTAGACATGTTGGCACATGTTCCCATATTCTGTGGTTCCCATAGTTTGTGTAATAATAAATTCTGATTTGTGTAATAATAAACTGTTATAATTTGCAAATTCTAAATGTTTCCCACAGATATTCACATTTAAGAGCAAGAAATGCTGCTGCAGTGTTGGTATTGAGGGGCGAGGAAGCAGCACTGACCAATTAAAAAAAAAAGAAATGTAAATAAAGGCGAAGAATTAAGATCAATTTCTGTGAAAGTTTGCTTCTGATTTTTCCTTTTGATAGAGTACATCAGTGATATTTTGGTCTATTTACCCACGAACTTTATAGATAATCTGGAAAAGAAGTAGGATAAGCCAAAAGAAGGATTAGTTGTGTCCACATATAGCAAGAGATCTCAGTAAATTGTAAATAAAATACAGAAAACTTTTCTAGGGCTAGAATCTAATTTAACAGTTTCTTCTCAATAATGACCACAGAACATAGGGGCATGTGCCGACATGCACAGTTAAATGAGTACAAGGGAAGTCAGCCAGATCTTGTCTGAATTTTGCCTCAACCACTCTTTAGCTTGCAAGTTTGTGCAAGTTACTTATCCTCTGAACCTAATTTTCGTTGTCTTTTAATAGGGAAAAAATACCTATTGCATAGCACTATTGCCAGGTTTGCATAAAGTTGTTCATGCAAAATGCTGACTGTGAAAGTATTCAGTAATCATTTATTATTCTATTAGACCATAAGCCAACCAGGACAGGGGATACATATCTTGTTCATTGTTGTGGCTCTTATGCCTGACACACAGAAGTCACTCGATATGGATTTATTGAATAAATGATGAAATGAATAGATCATGTACATAACTAATCCAACACACTTGCCATAAACAAAATGAACTTTAATTTTCTAAAATAAGAATTGGATTGGGTGCAGTGGCTCATGCCTGCAATCCCAGCAATTTGGGAGGGTGAGGTGGGTGGATCACTCCGAGGTCAGGGGTTCGAGACCAGCCTGGCCAATACGATGAAACCCCGTCTCTACTAAAAATACAAAAAAATTAGCCAAGCATGGTGGCTCGTGACTGTAGCCCCAGCTACATGGGAGGCTGAGACAGGAGAATTGCCTGCAGCCAGGAGCTGGAGGTTTCAGTGGACAGAGATTGCACCACTGCACCCCAGCCTGGATGACAGAGTGAAACTCTGTCTCAAAGTAAAAAAAATAAAAGAAGAAGAAAGAATAGGATGATGACCATGGGTAATAAGAAATGTCTCTTACTGGGGCGTTGATTCTTGTTAGTGATTCCTGTAGTTTATAAATATACTCCAGAAAGGATATTTTAAGTATCAATATTTAAAAGTATTTTGAAATATGTGGTTTATTGGGCATTACTGGAAGTCTCTGTTTTCCAGTTTTGAATATGTATACTCTAATCAGAATGAAAAGTTATTTTCATTATTTTGAGCCTGTGTTACTCCATGCTATATTTTCCTTCACTTCAAAATGTTGCCTCTTTCAGTAGGACAGCGAGATATCCCCCAGCAGCATGTAATTTATTTTCTGCAATGGGTGTCTTGCCTTTCGGATATAAAAGTGTCTTTCACATCTTGTTCACACATTTGTTTTCTGTTGGTGATCTGTTCTATTGTGTCACCAGTTATCCCATCATTTGTGACTCCCCCGATCACATCCCTCAGCAGCACAGTAGAGAAGGCACCAAGCTGAGCCCATTCCTGCTAATGTGGAAGAAACTGCTCTTATTACTTCTCTCTTAAGGCCATACCACTTAATAATTCACAGCTAGCCCGACCTCCATGGAACTGAAAGTGTTGCAAAAAATGAAGTGACAAAGTTAAAAAGCAACTCTGACAAACATGCGCCAATTGCAGGAGCAGACCTGTTTCTTCTCAACAACTGAAATAACAGAAGGACCAGAAGCAGGAACTGGGGGTGCATTCCTTTTCCAGAGGCCATGCTGTGCTGGCAAGCTCCCTGAGTATGTCAGCCTTCAGAGCCCTGTGACCTCTCACACACCCAGCCAGGCCTTATGCCAGGTACTGCTACTGCTGCTGCATCTCACAATCTGACACAGCTCTATGGGTCTCAATGACTGCTGGATAGCTGACATGGACTGGCACTCTGTTAATTTCCAGTAGAATTCACCTTCTGTTCTCCAACATCCTTTACTAAATCTCTTACACATATATTAAAACAACAGCACTTCACAATATAGTGAGGCAATGCAGTATGACGTATCTTCATCTTTCTTTCTCCTTCTCTCTTCCTCTACTTGTCATTATTCTTCCCTTTCCTTTCCCTTAGACAACACTGGGGTTTTCTCATTTGAGAAATCTGGGCTATATCTAGATAAGCATTTTTCCACTGGATAGACCTCCATCTAGCTCTTGTCTTGTTTTATTCTGATGCTGGATAGTTCAAATAAATTATTGATAAATGCTTCAACAACACATTAGCAACTACTGTTTATAAAGAATTTAGTACTACTACAAAATCAAAGTGTGTTCCATCCAGGCAAATAAAATTAGTTTTCCATCACACTGATGATGAGACAATCATTTA